GTAGAATTATATTTTTGAGGCAACTAACTGTAGACGAAGAACGGTAATAAGGGTAGTCCCTTTCGCAACCGTTATTTGGTGTCGTCGCGCAACGGGTTCTCTCTCCAACGGGGAATAGATGGCACTGTGTGGCGAGGCCAAACAACGGCTGCGAAGGAGACAACAGCAAGTGTGGCACCGATGCATTTTATTTTTGCTTAGAAGTACCGAGACAATAGAGACGACTAACCGAAAAATACCTCTGTGAGTTCAGATAAATTAGGTCTTTTTTCTTTTTCTTAAGGTGAAGTAATGCGATATTTTCGTCCGTTTGAAAGTTATGCTCTTTTCCTGTTACAAAAATGAAAACATTAGGTACACAAAGTGTCCCACCTCAACCCGCCCAGCCGAAAAAATTAACTCTTGCATGCTACGCATGTTTATGTTAGGTAACATACTAATAAACGGCTGCGAACGGGTACAAAGGTGGATCAGGTAAGAGCACTGTACAGAGAAAACTAAGCCATGATTTCTGTATAGCCACATGCTTCATTATGCATAATAGATTGCCTTCGAGTTCACTGCTTTGTTTAAGACTGAGTAGTATGGAGGTTCTTTAGGAATTTTTTTAATAATTTTTCTTTGGAGGCGAGATACTGAATTGGGGAGGAAAGTAGCTTAAAAGAAATATAGTAATTATCTTATCGTTAAATTGCAGATCAGTACCCTGTGATTTCTCCAAAACTCTACACCTCTCTTTCCACTAAATCCTCTCAACTATTCACATCCTGAAGCTTAACATAAAGTATGTCTCTTTTTTCTCATTATCAATAATAATTTTTTAATCATTTCATTTTTTAAGCACAAACCTGTGGACTTTATGAATTAGCCAGCACGATGTACAATGCACTTTGTCTTGTTAAAGGTATTGTTGTTCCCGTGCTTGTCGGAGAATTTTAATCGCGTTAGGCGAGGAACATCCTAAGGACACACAAAGCATTTTGCAACTGGTCTTCGTTACGGCTCTTTCAAGATAATTTAAATTTATCAACTGAGTTTATAAAGTAAATTGGCCTCCGTAAAGATTTTCTAAAGCTGATCTTTTATGAGCGTTAGCCCTTCGTCAGAGTGAATGGCCGTTGCGGTCCATTGGTCTGAGGATACAAGCCGAGTGTTCGTCTCCTGCTTCTCGGCAGGAGTTGACTACAGGTTCCGTATTTCTTTCTGTTTTGCTGCCAGCTATTTTCAAAGTTAGTTTTGCTTTATCTAGCTATATTTGAAATTTGGCTCCTAGATGATTCGACTGAATTACGGCATGCGTGTTCTTGAGTTCTTAGGCACTTGTTGGAGGGGTGACGCCTGTAAAAAGTTCTCGAATATTTGAGCCACTATGACTTGCAATATATCGTTACCGTTCTTTAACCCTTTTTCTCGTTATTATAAATAATTACATATTCACTAGTTCAGTATATTTTCAGGTAGATAGGAATGTAAGAAAGATAGCAGGGGGCAGGGAAAGCTGATATAAAAAATCTTGGGCCTGAAAGGGGTCAAACACTGAGTTCCCATGATTGCTTTGAATTGCCTCACGCTATTTTGCGATGGGTCATTTGGTTTTCGTGTCGTATGAATATAGGTAAATCAGCTCGACTCTGAGCCGAATATCCCAGCGAGAGATTTAAAATCATTGAAAACAACTCGAATGGTTAATAAAGTCCGTGCACCTCGGTGGAGAGATGAGGAAGTTGTTTTCAACACTAACCAAAGTTCGGGTCGGTAAAGAAGAAATGGATTTTGAGACTCTGCAATGCACACCTGTTAACTCGTTTTTCGTTTTAGGTCTATGCATCAACTTTATCCACCTAAACTACTTGAAGACTTTTTTCGAACAAGAATTGCATGTTTTTGGACACATCCTATATAAAGACCAAAAGGCCACGCAAACGCAATATAAAGAAAAACGCAAAAAAGTCCCAGAGTTTTCATTTCCACGATGTTGTGTTTGAGTCCGCAATAAACACTTTTTATTTTTACTTCAAATAAGGAAGATATCATCTTTAGTCCAACTGAAGTATCAACTATGCTATCAAGGAAATTAAATTCACTCCCAGTGTCTTTTTGTTCAACCATATTTATAAATGTTCCGAAACAGCTTGTTACTCGAGCTCTTTGATTCTTGAATAATAGAATAGCCTATAATTAGAACTGAATCGAGAACGCAAATTTATTAATTTGTACGAACGCCAAGCTTCTCTTACCTGACTCATTTATCTTTTTTTAAAAGCTCTTTAGAACTATTTATACAAAAATACGATGATTGTACGTAAAACGTGCTTATTGAGAAATCGTGCGTAACCAATTTCCACAACTACCTAAAAATCACTACCACGCGTTTTGTTTTTACTTTCGAAAAACACAGGCCCACTATTCAACCTTATGCTTCCCTCTCGCGATTATAAAGTGCGTAAAACGTGGAGGTGGAAATATGAAAAAGTTTAATCAACGGGTGCATTTACGCATGTAAACGTCCATTTCAACATACGCAATTTTTCAAAAGATGTTCACGGCGTGGGGAAATCCAGCTTAATGTTTGTTTCCAATAAAAGGCAAAGCCCAGACTCTATCATCTAAACCTTCACTTTGCTTCAAAATTCTCTCTTTGTTTGACCTGAATAATCAAAGAGTAATTGATAAATAAGACATTAACTGAACGATGAAGTCTAAACTGTACGCTGCTGGTAAAACTTACGTTTTGATATTCTGGTAATTTCAAAAATCATTTAGCTATCAATCAATCAATCGTTTATTTTAACACGTTTCGGGAATTAAAACCTTTTTTTTTTTTTCTCGAGTGTGTGTGTTCTATGGGCCAGTATTATAATTTAGTAACATTGCATTGTTATTATATTGCATTGTAATAATATAAGTTCGTAGTACTGTTGTATTGTAGCATTGTAGTTTTGTAGTACTGTAATCCTGTAAACTTGCAAAATGAAAAGTAAAGAAAAAAATAAAAATAAAAAACAAATTCAGGGCGGTAGATAAAAAATAAAACCACCCTGAAAGAAATAAAGAGGATAATCGTGCTAAAATTAAAAACAAAGGCTATCTCCTGTGATCGTGACTGGGTTTTTTTTATCCAGATTAATAGCAACTTGTTCTAAGTATTTAGCAAAGTTAAATACAATATTTTCTCACGATAACGAAATTTATTCACTAATCTAAGTTGTGATAAAAGGTCATCAGATGAAGAGATAATCAATAAACTTTTATATTTTTGTTGAATAACTTGCGATATAAAATATTTCCACTCAATTTCCCGACAGCTAAATAACCTAGAATGACCTAAATAGAAACTTCTTGCTTGAGATAAATTTCGTCTGTCAACATCTTGCCCCATGGACTCCTGACAACTTGTATAATATCTTCCTTGGCAAAAGTTTTGATTTGTTAATTTTCCAAATGAATCGGAGAAAATGTCAACCTAACAAGACGGAAATTATGAAATATGATGATCGTACGTAAAACGCGCTTATTGAGAAACCGTGCGTAACCAATTTCCACAACTACCTAAAAATTAATACCACGCGTTTTTTTGTTACTTTCGAAAAACGTAGGCTTGCTATTCAACCTTATCCTTCCCTCTCGCGATTGTAAATGCGTATAACGTGGAGGTGGAAATATGAAAAAGTTTAGTCAACGGGTGCATTTACGCATGTAAACGTCCATTTCATCTTACGCAATTTTTTCAAAAGATGTTCACGGCGTGGGGAAATCCAGCTTAATGTTTGTTTCCAGTAGAGGGCAAGGCCTATACTCTATCATCCAAACCTTCACTTTGCTTCAAAATTTTCTCTTTGTTTGACCTGGAAAATCAAAGAGTAATTGATAAATAATACATTAACTGAACGATGAAAACTTAAGAAAAAATTCTACCAAGGAAATTACTTTTCCAATCAAGTTTGAACTGCACGCTGCTGGTAAAACTTACGTTTTGATAGTAATTTCAAAATTATTTAGCTATCAATCAATCATTTGTTTTCGTTTATACACGTTTCGAGGAGGAGCTACAATTGTGTAAGAAACACTGAATTAAAGATGAACCAAATCGGATTCAACTTTAACCTTTTAAATTTTTTTTTTGTGACAAAAACGTGCAAAGCGCTTCCACGCACCATTTTGAGATAATCAGAAACTCTACGCGAATATCTTCACTTCAATCAATCGACCTTCGTCACAATAAAGTGATTACTAGTAACTGACGTGAGTGGCCTAGGTTAAGTTACACAGAGATCCTTTTTCTAGGTGTATTGAGACATCAGCGACGAGTTTTCTTGGCAGACAGTTATGGTTGACCTTGGTTGATTGTCGATTGTCGAACGTCCAAATCGTTAATGTAATTAAAAAGAAGCGTCAACCGACAAATAACAGAACAATTTCACTTTAGATATAGGAAACAGACTTCACTGATCACTGGGGGAAAGGACGGACGGACCACAGAAAATTTGGGGCATTTACTTGGCGAAAATAAACATTTTCAACCGGCTAACTAAAATTATGAAAGGCTGAAATACATTTGGTCTGGCGCAGCCATCAAATTCGCGTTTTTCAAAATGTACGAGTAAGTCGGAACGCGGAAATGAATTCGTCGAATTCGTGAAACAAAGAGCATTGATTTATTTTGCTAAATTTACAGATTTCGAGCTGTCAGTTTCTAATGATCTAAAACTGAGTAAGAATGGATGATGTATGCATCAATTTCTTCCACTCTTAACAGAGTGGCACAGATTAGGAAGAAAGATCATATTCCTCATACCTATCCTTTGTTCGTGAATGAGCACTCTTTAATTTGCACGCTCTGCTTGCCGCTCTAGTCTCGTTTAAGCAAAAAAGAGAGCACTGGGGACGTGTTTTGATTCACGTGCGTAGTACACGTGCAGGATTCACGTGCAGACGTTATATAATGTAAAAGACGTCGATCAAATTTTTGGCAATGATGCACCAGTGTCGTTTAGAATTTTATGATTAATTCTCGAACTTAGTACTAAGATTGCAACTTCTAAAGTGTAATTATGGGCTAACTCAGCAACTTCCACACAAAATGGCAAGATTACACATGGTAGATCAGCCTCCGTGAAACCAAACTTTTCTGAGAAAGCAGTAACCACTACGTATAATGTCTTATGCGACAGTTCAAAGAAAAGATGTACATGCTGGTAGCGTAGATGGAAGAAGTTCCGCTATAAGTGACAAAGAAAAACACGCAATACACTGGATCAGAAAGGATCTACGCTTGCACGACAATCCTTCTCTTTTGGAAGCAGTGAAAGGAAGCGACACTCTTAGAATTATTTATGTTTTGGACACTAAAGTGGATCAAAACATTGGTATAGGTGCAAACTTATGGAGGTTCTTGTTGCAGTCATTGGAAGATGTCGACGACAGTCTTCGTCAACTTAATTCCCGCCTTTTTGTAGTGCGAGGTCAGCCCGCAGATGTCTTCCCTCGCCTGTTTAGGGAATGGAATACCTCGCTTCTAACATTTGAGGAAGATTCAGAACCATTTGGAAGAGAAAAGGATGCAGCAATTCGACTACTTGCTCAAGAGTCAGGCGTTCAAGTAGCCATTCGTCGGTCTCACACCTTGTATGATCCTCAACTGTAAGTGTTTCTTTTCGATTTCGACTAATGCAAAATCAATCATTAATGTATATCATAGAAGAACCTCATTTCTGGGTGGCCATAGATTAAATTTATTCGTTCAAACAGAATGTTTCTGAGGCTGTCAGTCTGAATCACGTCGTTAACAAATGTCACTGGCATAGATTGTAAGTAATTTCACCTCAATTGAGTGGATGCAAATGGTTTCGTTTTGATCATTTTTTCACAATCTTGTTTTCTTAGGGCATAACTGTAAGTAGAAAATGAAATATAACAGAATTTCAACTAAATAGGGGTTCCAACCACTGCTTTTATGCAGTCATGCCAAAACGCAGACTGCAGACCATGCAGACAGTGTAGCATCGCAGGCTTTCTTATATTTAACCCTTTAATCTGGTACAACTATCATTCTCGCTAAAAAGCCTTATTTACAGGAGCTTCCAAAAAATGTATGTATCTATGTTTCATGTTGATAGCAATTTCCTTTTGAAAATGTGGGGTGCAAGTGCTTGGGCACAATGCGGATATAGTTTTGGTGGGGCATCCTTGACATCATCGTCTTTGCGCACGTATCACTAGAGTAATGATTAAACATCGGCTAAGAACATGGTAAAATTTGCACTCAACCCTATGCTACATTATGCATTCAGTTCTTGGATAGAGAAAACAATGACAAAAACAATACATTGCCATTGGGAAAACAGATTTGTTTTACATTAGTACGGGGCTGTGCAGAAATTTTACCAAGGACATAATTTAGGATCCTTTGGACCTTAAATTATGTTGCCACAAGTTAATTTTTTTTTTTTTTGGGTGGTACAAAGAATGAAACGATCTCTCGGGATGAGATGAATGGGTCATCCAATGACGTTTCTTTCCAAGGTCTAACAAATGGATGCAACGTACATGAGGGGTTGAGTGGCTTTGCTGACCAGTTTGCCTTTTGTTCTTGACCCCTCTCCACTTTGTCTATTAGATTAAGAAACCTTCTTATTTCCTAGTAAAGTTTGATTTTAGCTTGAAACACTTCCTTTACCATAACGTTCTTTGGGTTGTCTTGCGAATATCCTTATAATTATTTGCATGGTCCACACAGCCTATTCCTTACCGTTAAATCAGTGTCACTGTCCAAACAAAGAGCATCTGTAATACAGAAAGGAAGATTTAACACACAAATATGACAATAACTACAATTCATTTGAATACAAAGGCAAATTTAATTAAACCTACCCTTGTCAATCTCTATCTTTTGCCATGTGAGGCTAATTAAATCTCTATATGCTCTTTCAACCTGAGCCTGCAATTTGTCCAAATTGTTGCTAGGTAACATGAGCTCGAAACATCCCTTGGAAAATCATGTCATGGTGTCCAAAAGATGGAACCATTCTAATGTTACCAAAAGAGTAAGAAAAAGATGTACATACCTTGATTATATGCAAATCAGAGTAAGAAAAAGAGATAACAAAAAAATTGCAGAGTGTGTATTGTCTGTAGTCTGCAGTCTGCATTTTAACATGTGGGAATATTGTCTAGAAGATGATCTTTCTACTATCCAGAGCAGCTAACTGGACCTTGAAAAACCTAGAAATCATGGAATTCATCATGAGGTAACCATTGTTACAAAGTTTTCATAGTGAACATTTTCTGTACTTGTCAGGATCATAAAAAACAATGGTGGAACTCCACCTCTTACGTACAAGAAGTTCCTAGCCATCATAAGCTCATTGGGTCCTCCTGAGCACCCTGTCCCAACACTGGATGTGCATTTATTGGGAAGCTGTTCTACCCCTATCTCTGATGACCATGAAGAAAAGTATGGGGTGCCATCATTAGAAGAGCTAGGTCTGGACATTAGAAAGATTCATGCAGCAGTTTGGCATGGTGGAGAGAAAGAAGCTCTTGTGAGGCTTAACAGACATTTAGAGAGAAAGGTATGCGTGTTATTCAGTATTATCTGTAACTCTTAACGTTATGATTACTGAGGCAAAGGAAGGTTTCTTTTAACAGGAGGTTTACAGTAGGGTCATGCTAATATTTGAATGCATAACAGCTCACTCTATATTAGAAGCGTTTTCTCTTAGTCAGCAATGATGGTGGTCAGATGTTTAAAAGTAATCTTCAACATTTTTCACTGGTGAAAGAACAAGCCTTGCACCACCTTGTTTCCTCAAATCAGTCATAGTACGGTAATTGTCTTCTTAAATGGGGTGGTTGGAAACCCTCTCAGCTTGAATCCTTGGGTCAGCTGCATGCAAAAATTACATGTTACCATTGCTGTTCAATCTTGATTGGAGCTGATTGTGTCTTTTATAGCCCAGTTTATTTTTCTAGAGAAGACCCTCACCTTGTACCTTTTCACAAGGTGGCATCATGTACCCTCCATTACTAAGCTAAATCTGGATGAAGAAAACTTTTTATTTAGTCAACTTGGATAATTAAGATACAAGAATGTCTTTTCTGCCCCACTGAAGATGAAACCAAGCCCACTTTAGCAGCAAATTCTAGTTTAGGTCAATTGGGGCCTGCTGTACCATCAACATACAGCTCTTATAATATCATGTAACCCTTAAACTCCCAGAAGTTACTATCACCTACATTTTCTGTATAATATCCATACATTTTGCAGGAAATAGGTAATAAGAATACCTAGATTTATGAGGTGGAAGTTGTTTTCTTTATCTCACACCAAACTCTCACAACTAATTTGCAAGGAAAATGTGTAGCAGCCAGAGGGGAGAATTAACAGTCAAATCTTTGGAGTTGAAGGGGTGAAGTTTTCAGTTATAGGTTTTGATTGTATTCATGAGAAAAGAGTAGAATTGATTTTAATTGAATAGTGAGGTATTTTACTTTCTTTTCTTAAGGCATGGATAGCAAGTTTTGAAAAGCCTAAAGTCACCCCAAACAGCCTCTTTCCAAGCCCAACAGGAGTGAGTCCTTATCTAAGATTTGGATGTTTGTCACCGAGGTTGTTCTATCACAGACTTACAGAACTTTATAGAAAGGTTAGTTGATCCATTTATATCGCTAGGACTAATTTAAGCTTCAAAGCCAATAAAATAATTTATAAAATCCTAACCATAGGGGCCACCCCACTGTTCAAGCTGGAGAAAGTTTTTTGTCTACTATGCCTTCCTCATAGGAAGGCCATTGGTACTATGTCACAGTTTGGTGCAAGTTTGCTGGTAAACCTTCCCTCAGCCCCCCTTCCCTAGATTTTTAGAAATGGTAGACTGTTGTGAGACACTTGTAACTGTCTTGTGATTTTCTCTGGTTCAGCCTCCACATTGGCCATCATTGAACAAATTTTGTTGTTATTTTTTTTTTCTGAATCCATGTTCAGTTTTGTCAGGTGTAGTTCAATGTTTTCTCAGTGTCTCACATCTGGATTTTGACGCTGATATTGATTTGGACCTAAAAGCAATGATATCAAATGTTCTGCATTCTACACTCTTCATATCTAACATATCCTTTTAAGAATGATGTAAAATGAAAGGCGAAAATAAAGGGGGGAAAAAAGACAAAAAAAAGCGGATGCTGCCAGGGCTGGGACCTTTGACCTTCAGATTTGTATTCATTGTGCAGAGCATGTGAAGCGGTGAAGTTTTGTATCCATCAGAATTTATTTGATTATTATTTATACTTGTGCTATTGATCTCCTGCCCTACTTGTAAATTGACCAGTCTACAAACTCTGTTCTAATCAGGTCCTGCTTTTGTCACAAATTTTGGCATCAACAAGAGCTTTTCATTAACTCCTCTGCATTTTACACTGCCTTTCATTTGATTCGAGGCTTTTACCAACATTTTTTTCCTTTTTCAGGTTAAGAGCAGTGATCCTCCTATTTCCTTGTATGGGCAGCTACTGTGGCGAGAATTCTTTTTCACTGTGGCTGCAAACAATCCACATTTTGACAGAATGACAACAAATCCCATGTGTTTACAAATACCATGGAAAAGGAACCCAGAAAACCTGGCAAAATGGGAAGAGGTATATGCACTTTACAGTCTCCGAAGGAAAAACATATTAAGTTGAAATATTTATCTGAGATGCTTGGAAAATAATTTAATTCCAAAATTTAGCAAAAGAAATGTCTTTGCTTGAAAGTGAGGTGAGATATTTTTAATTGCAAACTCAGAAAACTCTTCCACAGCAGTTAGTGAAAAGAAGATTCTGACAGAAAGCAAGGTGTGCTACATAACTCCACTGCAGCCTTCATCAAGCCTTTTTACATTCCTTTACCTATATTTTGTATTTTGTTAAGCCATTAATTTAACATAAGAGAATGTGTATGGTTAAAATAATAAAAATTTGGGACAACAAACCAAGCATAAAATTTGCACTAAGTGTATTTTTCTTGAATGTTTGTACTCAGGGAAGGACAGGCTTCCCTTGGATTGATGCCATCATGATACAACTGCAACAGGAAGGATGGATACATCACTTAGCAAGGCATGCTGTTGGTTGCTTCCTGACAAGAGGAAACCTTTGGATCAGCTGGGAGGAGGGCATGAAGGTAATCAAGTTCTTTGAGGAAATCTTTTAACAATCAAAGTAATTTCTAGAGCACATTAGACATGTAATTTGCTCTTAAGATCTATTTCTAATTCTCCTTACTACCTACTATACAATTCTTATGATGTGAGTGTGGAGAATATAATAATGGATCAAATAATGATATGAAAATTGAAATTTTTTCAATTTCCCTTACTTGCCTGTCTGATATTGTGTAGTAAGGAGAAATTGTGACCAAGAAGGCAAAACAGACACTAAAAGTTATCCATTTGAATGGGTAAACCATTCGTCATCCATTCAAATGCCCAAAAAAAAATTCCCTTCAAAGTGTTCAACAAACTGTTTGAATGGTTTGCATATCCAGTGTTCTCCTTTTTAGGCAGTAACCGGTAACATTTACTGCCTGTAGTATCTCTTATTATCATTTAAAATTGCTTGGAATTCTTGAAAATTCAACAGGTAGAAGGATCCCTGTACTGGTTTGAAAATTTATTTTACCTGTCATGCTTGAAATAAGGGAGAACACTGTATATCCGTTCAAAATACATAAGGATCCATTTGAAGTATTGCAACATCTGTTTGAACGGTTTTTGCATCCGTTCGCCAACTAGAAGTGTCTTTCCCATTTGAACGGTTTGACATCTGCTCTGTTCATCCCTTTGAAAGGTGAAAATTGAACTCGTCGTTTCTCTACAGATATTCAGTACAGCGGTTGAAACATTGCAATCCACATCTAGGTGACTAAACAATTAACTCAGCTGTCATTTTAAACCATGATGACAAACACCATTCATGAGATATTCAGTAGTTTTCAGACAATAACTAAAAACGTTATTTCGATGAGGAATTGAAATAGTCTTTATTTTCAATTGTGAGAATAATGGCCTTGAAATTGAAAACAATGTGTGAAATGAAAACAATACACAGTAACATCGCTCGTTCCTTGATCAAGCCATACACTTGGAATGGTTTTGAAAAGCATTAAAGCAATTTATTCATCTGTTTGATTGGTAAACCAATCATTCAACCAGTGGTAAGGATTAATAATCTGTTTATCCATTTTACTCATCCATTTGAACAGCTAAGCAAACCGTTTGAACGGTTAATCAAACCATTCAAATAATTTATTCACCCATTTGAACAGTTTGCCCTTCTGTTTGAAATTTTTACTCATCTGTTTGAAAGGCTGACCAAACCATTCAAATAATTTATTCACCTGTTCAAATGGTTAGGCAAACCATCTAAATGCTTCAAGGACCGTTCATGAAACGTTTGTCATCCGTGCATTTTTGCTGTTCGAACAGTTTTCCATAGTGTCTGTTTTGGTTTTCAGGGTCACAATTATGTCTTAGTCAATCATGGGTATTAAATGTGTAAGAATGTTAATTCAAACAAGGGTTGTGAAAAAGCAGAATAAAAAATGAAACTTTGTGATGGCACATGTGCCAGCTTCTCAACCTATCAGATTCAAAACTTAAATGAATCCCTATTTTGTAACTCTTGTTTTCCTGTAGTTGAAGCAGTTAACATGACATTCAAGGTTTACTTTCCCTAAGTTGTAAATTTCCTACTATCTGATGTTTACTTTTATTCTGAGGGGTATAAACTAGGATAATATTCAATATCACCCCTTGTACAAACTTGAAAATTGACAATAATTTTGATCATGGATTTCAACTTTTTGAATGAAGGTATTTGAGAGGTGGCTTCTTGATGCAGAATGGAGTTTAAATGCTGGTAACTGGATGTGGCTGTCATGCAGTGCCTTTTTCCAACAGTTCTTCAACTGCATATGTCCCGTTGGATTTGGAAGGAAACTTGATCCTAATGGAGATTTTGTCAGGCTAGTAATAACCAGTAATGACTAAAGTATGATTTGGAAATTATCTATTTTGAATCTAATTTTTCAGAAAGGGAAGAGAAACTATATATTATAGTCTACAATGTTACTGTAGTTGTTAATGAATGCCTTATCATTGCTATGTATCCTTGGTTTGCATGTGATGTCATAAAAATCCAAAATACAGAATAACAAGCTAGGGCTATTACAGTTCTACCTCTGAAAGACAAAAGATCTCCTAAACGTCTTGGTAAAGTTTCAGTGTGGTGGGGTCCATTTTGAAAATAGAACCATTTCTAATTTCCTAATGTTTTGACACTCAACATCTAAATAGTGGCCTGGAAAGCTGATACCTATGTAAAATGTAATTTTGTCATGTGACGTTTTGTTCGCTGAGCATCAGAAACTTGTGGAAGGGCAGACATGTAACTTGGGCGAATTGTTTATCTATCAGTCGGCTACAATAGCTCACTGTCTTGGCATCAGGCATTCAATAGTTTTGATTTAAGATTCTGATTGTGTGATGGTGCAAAGCAAGGATTCATTAATTTGATATAGTATTGTGTTATTTTTTTGGTAATGTGGTTGTTGGTGAAAATTTGTTTTGTTGGAAAATGATTTAAAACAGTTTAAGTTTCATTTTTTTCTTTTCAATTCACATCATTTAAAGAACAGAGAGAACAGAAAGAAAACTGATTCCTTAAACTGCTTTGAAGAATTTAAAATCAAAACTTAAATTTGAACCACAACTATTAGCAGCTTTGTGTACTCTTAAATTATATTGCCCCCCTTCAAGTTTGAAATTCCTTACCAAAAATTGCCTTGATCAGACAGTCTTGTCTGTTACAATTTTGTGCTTCCAATCTCAGCTCAGACTTTCAATTTTTCTCTGACTCAAGTTGTCATATTTTTAATGGACTCATACAGGTATGTCTGTTTTTCTGATTGCTTGTTTCTTTACTTTAATTCAGAAGACATGATTACCACTCTAACCAATCAATTTTCATTTTATGACAACTTGATTTTCAAATTTACATCCACAATCACAATTTACTTCTTTGTTTCACAATCCTTAAGCTTCAAATTTTTAAGGTTCCAACAATATGCTGTTGTAAAAAAGTAGTGGTTATGATAACTGTAAGAATTAATTATTATAGAGTGCTTTTCAATTGAGTGTCCTTAAAACTAAAACCAAATTAATTGCAAGGGCCAATCAGGGGGAAGAAAATACCTTAAAGAGCCAATGAGAACTGAAAGGAAAATCAGTCAAACTACCTTAAAAGCACAAGAAAACACAAGTGATTAAGGCATGATCTGTTGTGAGTTTGCATCTGATTGGGTGAGAGGGTGATGCAAGTTTTCAACACCAATTTCAGAGCATAGTAAAGCAAAACCATGGTAACCATAGGATTGGTCTGACAATTAATTGAAAATAGCTCTAATTTTGATATTGTTATAAATGATAGTGATTGTCATTGCTGATCTGATATTACACTGTTTACTTTGGATGAATTGAATGCTTGTGGAACTGGGCCCAGTTGTTCGAAGGGTGGATAACACTATCTAACAGATAACCTGCTATCCAGCTGTTAACCCTTTAACTCCCGAAAGTGATTAACATAAAACTTCTCCCTACAATATCTGTACATTTTTCAGCTAATAGGTAACGAGAACATTCAAACTCATCAGGAAGAAGCTGCTATCTTGATCTAGCACCAAGTTCTCATGACTAATTTACAAGGAAATGTCTGGCAGTTAGATGGGAGAATTAAGAATCAGATCTTGGGAGTTAAAGGGTTAACAAAACACACTGCGCTATCCACAGGATAGCCATTTATCCAGTGGATACCACAAACTGCTGTTCAAACAACTTGGGCTTGTTCTAAAGAGCACTATTTTATGACTCTTTTTCCAGAAAATACCTTCCAGTCCTGAGAGGGTTCCCGGCAAAATACATCCATGCCCCATGGACAGCACCAGAGAGTGTACAGAAGGCAGCAAGATGCATCATTGGTGTGGACTACCCTTATCCAATGGTAGACCACTCCAAAGTAAGCTGTGCTAATCTGGAAAAGCTGAGAAACATCTTTAAAGCACTCTTGTGTTATAAGGATTCAAGTAAGTCCCTTAATTTTACTTACATATTCCTATTAAGAGGTGTTGATGATGGAATCAATGATTTACCAAGATGCAAAGATCCGTACTTAAAATGTGACAATGAGACTGTTCAATTTTTGCAACACAATTCATCATCAGAACCAAATTCTTAACCCTTAAACCCCCAAGAGTGACTAGCATCTAATTTTTCCTTACAATACCACCACTGAATCACACATTTATGTCATGAGAATAAGGGAAATGAACACCAACTAAACAAACTCTTGATTATTTGATGGGTTCTCCTTGTCAGTACCTTAGTAAATGTACAGAGAACAGGATGGAGAATATGTCTTGAATACTTATGTTAGGGTGCAAAGGGTTAAACAGAAAGGCCTGGTATGCACAGACTTTCCATGCTCACAGAGATAGCTCTGAGCTTCACTGGATCAGCTGCCTTTTGACTGGCACCCCTGGCTGTAATAGTAAATCTGAGACTTTGAAAGCTTATGAAATTGAAAATGGAGATTTCAAGGTTGCAATAAATTCACTATGTAAACAAGATTTTTAAACTTGAGGCTGATTCACATTTTCTTTGCCTGGCAGACTTGCTGATATTATTTAGGGGGGTTGGCCAGCATGAGAGCACAAGGTCACAATTATTCCTTCATAGAGCTTTGCCTAGAATGTTCTCCAAATAAGCTTTTTTTCCCCATCTCTTGTTTACTAAAATGCTTCATCCTCATTCCTAACAGCTGCTGTATCTTCAGAGAAGCAAGATAATCTACATGGGCAACAGGAAAAATTAAAACAGCAAATGTTTCTCCTGGAAGACAAAGAAAATGAATAATGATGCCACATGGATAACTAGCTTTCATCTCATAAGTGAAATGAAATAAGTGTAGAGGGATTCATATTGTGAGTGGCACATAGTTAATATATCAGTGTGTCACTTCTTAAAGACATTTCAGTGGCAAAAAAGGAGTGCCGTTAAAGGATTTTATAGTCTTTGCAAGGCATTAGAGACAAAAAATGTAGAAAATAATTTCTTTACCAAGGATACTAAAGGATTATTGGAACTTAAATAAGCTCAGCTATGTTTTGAGCAATATGGAAATGTTGACCTAATGCATTGAACAGATGCTTGGAAAAAGTTCAGCTTTCTGCAAGAATTTATCTCTGCATCTAGTAGATTTTGATCAATGTTAGCTAAGTCTTCACTTATTATTTTTATTAATTTTTTTTTTTAATTTAAAACCAACATTTGTTTCACAATTAATGGAGCAACGTGTAGTACATATCCACACCTTATTTATCATCAACATCTGTTCCTTTTTCCTACACAAAAGCACTGAAATTGAACACTTCTCAAACAAGAGACTCACATGAGGGATAGCAATGATTGGATATGAGTATTGTAATTTTTGATCAATTCCATTGTCACTCCAAGCTGGTACTCATAATTTTGTAGTTTAATACTCATAAGGTAATTGCCTGTTGCATCATAACGTCTTCAAGATGAGAATCAATTGTTTTGCTCATTTCACAGCTATTAAAATCATTTGTTGAACATTTGTAGGTCTGCAATTTATGATCCTCATTAGTTACATGCACACACCTCTTATTGATTTATTGTGCCCTAACAAAATGGGGACATTATTAAGTATATATAAACCCCTTCAGGTGCCTAGTATTTCAGCTGATAATATCCGTCGCTGAGGTATTCTCAGAAAAATGAGTGTTTGGTAACGAAGTGAAGTTTTGAAGGAATACAAAAAATTCAAAGCACAGTCTGTTAGCCAAGGACATTATCAGCAAACATATCAGTAAGCCAAAAGGATGTTTATTTATTTTAAAACCAACCTCTTAAAATCTATATTAATAGGACTCTTTTGTGCATGTCAGAGCAGAATTTGAGATTGCTTTTTTATGTCACAGCCAGTGGGCTCTACCAAACTAGTTCATTTTTCTTCCATTTGAAGTAGCGAAGATGAAAAAGTGAAACTCTTAAGCTGGCCTTTTTTCTGCTGGCTTTGTTTTTTTTCAATGAAAATAATCAATGGACAAATGTGGAGTTGTGCAAAAATTGAACTGAGTTATTTAAGCAAAAACTCCAGCTTGTGAAGATGGTGGGAGACTTGCAAGAGAAGCTTCTCAACCCCATTCCTTCCTCGACTTTATTTCTGGATTAGCATGAGGCAGAGGGTTGGCGATGCTTTACACTCTGGGATTTAGGTACGTCAAAGGATTAAATGGTATTAATTTTCCTTGATGTCCAGAACAATAGTGTCTTTTCCTCTGAGCATAGTATGATCCAGGACATTGAATAATGGCAGTGCTGGATTTTTCTAAACAATACCTAGCTGATTACGAAAAAAATCAAGTCTTAAAATTTGGTTTTATGTTTTCCTGATAGTCAAGAGAAAGCCCGACAAGTGCTTACCCCGCAGACATTTTATTTTTCTCTCCTGGATCAATGTTAACCACTGTAGTCCCAACTAACTCCAGGGCTGGAGGCTCAAAACCTAAACACCCTAACCCCTGACCTCCTCAAATCCTGGGTAAAACGTGTCAATGAGAGTGACGTCAAGCTTAGAGGCTGTTAGCATTTTGAGCCTTGTTCTTTCCAAAGAAGCAACATTTATGCAGTGGAGTTGGGTGGGGTAGAGATCTGTACTGCTTACTGCATTGGCTGACATTGATTTCCTTAGCATAAAAAATTCCTATTATTGTATGTACCCCCTCCCAGATAGAATTTCAAATCTTACCTTGCTTTGCCTTTCTGTATGTCACGTGCTAACTTTTGGCTTAATCATGAGCCACATATAAATCCTTCTCCACCCCCAGATTGAGTTTAACCCTTTCACACTCAGGAGTAACTGAAATGAATTTTGATTTACAAAGTGATAACTATATATTAATGTGGAAAGTGATTAGAAGAAAGAAAATTATCAGGTAGTTGCTTTATTCAACATCAAATCAAACTCTCAGCACTAATATTAAGGGAGATGTGTGGAAAACAGTGCATAGAATTTAAACTTTACATAAGGGGAGTGAAAAGTTGGGGAAAGTTTTAAGTTGAATTGTAGAGCTCTCTTCCCTCCTCACTGAGTAATGATTTGACATTATGACATTGAATAACCTTGGTTTAAGTTGCTTTTATTAATAAAGATTCCAATTCTTCAGATTTCTTCAATTAAGTTATAATTTACAGAGGCAATGTTTGTTTTTTTAGACAAATATTTTAAGCCTTTGAACATGAATTTACATCATAACAGACTGGAAACCACCAGGACATTTAACTCTGATCTGTGAGAATGTACAAAGGATAATTACAAAAGTTACCCCAGAAAGGGTACAAAGTCAAGAAGAAAGCTGACACTGATACAAGCTTTTCCTTAGGAATGACAGCAACAAAACTCTATGAAACTACATCTTGAAAGAATTGTTATGGATTCAACAGAACTTATAGCAAATTGAATGGGATTAACACTATTGCACCATGCATGTCCACCCTAGAGTCATCTTTTCCTCTGATGACATACATTTCCCTTGAAGAAAAACTTATCAATATGATAAAATATCCTTCACTGAGTGAATTACATTAGTAATAGAACAATTTAAGCCTTTGTGGCTGTTTTGTAGCTTTTCTATTCCTTGTTTCCCAGTTGGAACACTTATATCTGCATTATTTACATTTTTTTTAGACTTAGATTCTCTAATCATTCCTGTTTGCTAGACAATCAAACTTCATTCCATCAGCCAGTCCACTGACTTGTCTTGACAATGAAATGGAATTGGAATGGTGTTGCTTGTGCCATAATTTCATTGGAACTGCGCTAAAAAAATAATAAAAATATGTGATCACAGGTTTTTCAGAACTGCTGTTTTTGTGATATCATATTCCGTGAGTACGATATTGTCACATAGCTACCTTTTGTCTTCAAGGGAACACGCCCCATATTCCTCGGATGCAATATAAGCCCCAAGATTACCGAAATTTTATCGATAGAACATCGAAATGTTGCCAAAAGTACTCGAACATTACAAACGTAAGAACTCAATTACTTTAAAGTAAATACAACATCATTACCAAAAAGTGAAATAGCTGTAATTTTTTTTTGGCGATGTAGAGTCAATTTAGAAAGAGAAGAGAAACACGTATTAAAATCTAGAATGGAATGTACTCATAAAACATTCCATTACAGAAATGAACGCGTTCACTTTAAATAAAATTCAACTGGCGACACGTGCCTCTAACTAGTTTGAGACCGTTGGGTAAACAGTTCTTTTTCAACGAGGTCGGTGATCAGTAATCCAATGAGTTTTTTTGACAGAAGACAAACAAATGAGCATTCGGTGACAACTGTTCACTGTGGGGACATCCTTAGGGAATAATTGATACACCAGGATAATGAAAACATCACCAATAAACCTCTTAAGACAACGTAAGATTTAGATTTTGCTCTGTTTGTCACGAAAGGAAATTCACGGATGAATTACAGTACAACTGCTGTGTTACACAACCCGTTATATCGATTTAGTGCTTATAAAACTACTGACCTTACTTGAAACGCCTAGTTATTGTTTGCGAACGAACAAGTCTATACTTGTTTGTTTCGGGATTGATCTTCGTTTAGTGCTTCGTGGTCCCTTTTCACTCGTTCTTTGTCTTTTGGCTGATCGCAGAAAATCTGAAAGGAGAGATTACAAAGGATTTATAAGAACCAATGCAAATCGATACCAAGGGCCTGGTTTATTGTCGCATTTGACCCAGTTGACAAAAGACTATTATCATTACTACATCTAATAACCGTAGATTGGTCACATATGAACGAACGAAATGACAGTTATTTCTCACGGAATGAACAAAATTCAGTGGAATCTTGAAAAGGAAAGTTGCAAACAGATCTAGTGCTCAGCTGAAACACGATCATCTCGTGCTAAACATGTCACGTCGACGATCATAAGAGAGTTAGTTCAACGAGCCAAAGAGAAGAGTTAAATATCAACAATACATTACACAGAAATATTTCTTGACTCACCCGTTATTTTTCCTGTAGATTTAGTCTTCCTGATTTGCCTCAGGCGAGATTGTGGGTGACTTTTGCCGTTCATCGATACAGTCTCTTGTGTAGAGCTCGAGCCATCTGATGTCGACGTGCCTAAGCTTGTCGTAGTAGTAGGTGTAGTAGTAAGTTCCGTTGAAGCGCGACTGAATCGTTCCGGTGTTTCCATTTCACTGACTTGGTCAGTAAAACGTGAAACTGTTCTATCTCCATTCACTTTAGGAAATAGTCTCTCCCAGACGTACTTTCCTACTAAAGGAACACCATTTTCAAAATCGAAATTCCACGTCTGATTGTTGTCCACGCCAAGTTTCTCCTTCTCGCGGAGTAAATCTGCTCGCAATTGTACGTGGTCAACAGGCCCAAAGAGCTGTCTGCAAACTGAACGGCTGGGAGTGATGTCTGGTCTCACTCTTCGAGGACACTGTGGTTGAAAAATTGCTTTAGTGGCAGTCATATCTGTTACCCTGTATTCTGACGTTTATCTATCGAACGACTTCCTCGAGCACCTCTGACAGTCTCGTACTACGAAATACGCAACAAGAATAAATAGCCGTGAGTAATGTTACACTTCACCTTATTGGTCGATGGTTTGTTTCTATGACTACAACTTATTGTTACTCCGTTTTGGCGCGAGAAATTCTTTCACAAGCTAGTCGAGGAAACAATAGATATTTAAATGATATTACAAACAACTTCCTATTGTCCTTTCGTTGTCTTTTTCTTAAGTGAAAACGAAAGAGCGAAAAGTCTTTTCAAAGAATTAAACCAAGTTTTGAAACTTCTCAAAAGTGATGGTACTAGGCACGAGAATCGTGTTGACATAATTTTGAGAACTTTCGTCGTCAGCAACGGAGAGGCATAAATATCGTCTTCTTAAGCGCTCAAATTTATCAGTAAAATTTTATGCTCTGAGTCACATCCTCGGTTGAAATAGACGTACAAAGACATGATTTAAAGTTGTAGACTGCAGATGTTATCAATCAAACCGACACGTGTGTATTAACATTTCAATAGACCTTTGAGCAATTTGCCACCATTCGCATTACCACCACAACTTGTAACATTCCAGCCATCGGCAACATAGCCACAAGATTCAAATAATCCAACTAAACAACGAATTAGAAAGCTTTTGGATGCCACTTTTCCTCTCTAGATCGTTAAAATCAGTTTATGGTCGCTAAATCTTGTATGATGAGCACTGTTTGTTTCTTTTTTTGGAATAAATTGCATTTTTCTTCAATGTAAACTTTTGTCCGTTAAGTTCTTTGTTTCTAACTGGCTGCACGTGGCGTTAGGCTTACAAGAATTGCGGGCTAAACAAACGAGTTCGTAACTTCATAAAGATTCATTTCCCAAAGCAATCAAACACATGCCATATCCTTAATTAAGAAAATAGTTCCTATTTAGTGTAACTGCATGAGACAGCATAAGAAAATGGTGGTTAACTTTTGACAAAATGTTACTCCGTGTCGCGGCTTCCAGTTCAGGTATGGGTTGCAT